TTGAAAGTAAAGTCAACAGATAAGGCAACGAAGTCACATTTATTGCGCAGATGAAACGTAATTACTGCAATAGATAAGGAATTTCGTTTCTAAAATAAAAATACTGACGAAAATTTGTCTTAATTGCTTCTGTGGGAGGAGAAATAAATAATTTATAAGATTAACATATCTTACACGCTTGTTATCGGTGAGAAGATAGGGAAAACTTATTTTTTAAATCGATTTGAGACAGCCACTTTTCTTGGGACGAGAAGCATATTTTTCTAAACTCTACATGAGTTAGACATTTCTGGAAGTGAAGGGGGACGATATGCTTTTCTAAAATTGGCATGAGTTTCCTCCAGAAAAGTGTCTAACTCATGTCATTTTTAGGAGACACGCTTCCAATTTCCAAGAAAAGTATGCAAATATGCTAAATCTAGGAGACATTTTATCCTTTCCCCATTGGGATGCTGGAAAAAATTAGTTGACAAGTCAAGATTTTAGTTTAGAAGCGAAATCCTTTACAGATCCAATTACTAGTGTGTGTGTGTGTGTGTGTATGATAGCGAAAATATTCAAAACAAATAAAATAGATTTTGCAAACTCGTCGGTAAGAAGAGAATTATATTAGTTAGCTTGTGCGTCGCAAAGAACGTGATGATGAGAACAATTATGTGAGATGATGTAGAAAAGAGATGGATATGTCAGATGCTATGTCGTTCTTCTCTCTCTTTCTGCATGAAGGTCTTTCACTGGTCAAACTAGATGATGAAGCTATTCGTACTGGCACTATTGATTCTGCAAGCTACCGCAAAGGCTTCACCATTCTTCCCACTCTGCATCAATAACAGCATGTGGTATGCGGGGCCCATGCTAACGGTTCACTCGACAAGTGAGCAACGCAATGTGGCGATCAAAGAGACAGTCTCAAGTTTGGCGCCTTACTGGAACGAGACAATGGGACGAGGACGACTTTCTCGTTATCAGCGGCTTTCTCACATCAACAATTCCACTCAATGAACACTTACGGATTTGACCACCACCCATACCAAGCACTTATCTTGCATCGAGCATTGCCATCGCTTCCGGTCTGCGGCGTGGCACTGCCCGTGGCGGTACTCAACGAATGGTATGACCATGTGAATACATCGAAGGACTCCTATCTACCATTCGAACAGTTTCTTATCACTTTGCGTTCGCTCGCAATCGCGTGCACCTTTGCGTTACTCTGCATCATTCAAAAATAACATTCTACCGTTATTCTTCGATTTTTGACAACGAAACAATCATGATACATGTAATTGAACAACTGCGCGACACGTCAACTCAGTAGTTATCGAAATGTTTATACATTTGTTTTTGAGGGAATATTTAACTTAATGTAATTAAATATTAGGTCCTACATTGCTAATGACTTGGCATAGCAGGACGTCGTGATAAATTAAGAAAAGTTATACCGAAAACTTGAATTAGATTAATAAAAATTACTGAAAGTTTGTTCCGATTTTAGTGACTAAGCTCAAATCTTTTTTTAAAAGAAAGTAAAACACAATCTAATAATTCAGGTTTGATTTCGATAATAAAAAAAAACATCGACTGGTTAAAATTCGATTACATTTAGTGTCGAATCTACTCTCAATTCAAAACGTCGTACCATCTCCGATCAGAGTAGTTTACATATATTTACAGTTAATTTTTTATGGATGAAAAATATTTAGAAATATCAAAAATAGCATTTTGTTAATACTAGTTTATATAATCATCGATCTATTCCAAAGATACTAAGTTTTGTAGAATATTATGCTCTAATTTAAGCAATACTTGAACTTCTTATTTCTAGGAAAAAGTAAATCGTATAATAACGAAGTAAATTCGATAGATATGATAGACAATGTACTTTTTTGTAAGGTTTATTCAATTTATTCTAATTCTTGGATGCATCTTTCGTAATATATAACGTATATTTTGATTAGAATAAAGTCATGATACAGAAATACTGTTCCACGTTAATTTAACTCTTCACTTTTACTCACAACTAAGTATCTATCTCATCTTCATTATTGATCTTGCCATTTTATATCATAAATAAATACCGAAATTTACATTTATATGTGAAAAAACCTTCAAAATAAAACGAATTATGAAAGCTACTATAAACTTAAATGTTTCTTTTAAATCAGAGCATAATATTCTACAAACCTATTTTATCATACGCAGAACTTAGAGGCATCAGAATAGATCTATGCCTATCTATAAATTAATGAAACAATTTCTACTTTTGATGTGACTGAATTTTTTCTTTTTGAATATTCCTGGCGCAATCTGTAAAGAAATATAAAATGTGAGAAACAGAATTATAATGTGTCAGATCTTATATGAAACACGTAACAATAAATTCAGTCAATGGGAACTATAAATTCATATTTCTACTCTAGCATCCTTTCAAGCACGTGTTTTAGAAAAACTAAATATATATATTCTGGTAATAATATTATGAATTAGTAAAAAACTATTATATATTTAGTTGATCTAATATATGTATGTATTTAGAGAATGATTTTCTTCAACGAATAAGATGTTATTGTCGTGGTAATAATTCAAAAACACAAAAACAGAGTTTTTTTTTTCAAAAAATCAATGTTTTATGGTCACAGTTGAAGTTATTATACAAATTGTATTCCTAGCACTTGATCTTGGTATTAGAATAATTGGTTGATGGACTTTTGCAAGTAAGCCAAAGATCCAAGAGAAAGATAATTGAAACAATTGTTTTTTTTTCTTGTTCTTTTTAAATAGCTTATCACATTTTATTAGTGAAAGAAATTATCATTATCGAATAATATATACTTATCTCTCAATTATTTCAATGCTTGATCCGATGATGAATCGACTTGAACGTATGACAATGTTATTTACTACTTCTTTTTTTTTAGTTTTTCTGAGAAAATATAATAATTATAGGTGATCAATGATATCATCTTCTGTAGCAATAACAGCGGTACTTTATCCACACTATTCACTTACTGTAAATTTATTTACAAAAGCTTTTGTATTTCGTGGCTTAATGGCATTATTTCACTACTGATATGTCTGATTTAAGAAGTCAAAATTATTCATGTTCAATAAATACAAAAAGTTTAATAGAAAACGAAAACCTTTGTCTAGATGATAATGCCTATAAATATCAGCGATATGGAATACCAACACGAAAATGCAATCAATCATCATGGATAGCATGACTTTTATTTCTTTGATTTTGTTAAATTAATTTAACAGGATCAAGAGTACAAAAACAATTTGAACAAATCTAAATGTTTAATCGATATGGAATGTGCTATAAACGACCAAGTTTACCGTCACCTTTTGTTATTATTTCTTATATTGGTAATACAATTTTATATACATTTTGAAGTATAGAAAAAGAAATTTCAGTTCAATATTAAACTCTTTAGTCTCGACAATTCTTTTTGTCTATAGATATTACATAGTTTTATTTTAAAACCGTCAAAAGGATTTAGATTTCTATTAGAACATTTTATTGTATCTATAGCTAAAAAAGTCATTGAATTGAATTGGGAAGAAGCTGTCTGAAGTCTTTTATTTTTTTGTGGCAAAAATTTAATTCTAAAACCAGTTTGAGTTTAGGATAAGTTCAAACACGATGAGGAAATATTAAACAAAAAACTAATAATACATATATATTAAAATATTAGAGTTTATTATTATTTCAAGAAACTTATTAGATTTTTAATATGTTATTATAGATTTTCGTAGAAATCATAATGAAATATTTTGCAATCCATTTGCATTATGAATTAAATATTTTCTTTATGTGTAATGTAAAATCTTTATCTAAAACTTGTTTTTTCGACAAAATTTTAAATTTAAATTATTTTTTCAAAATTTCTCTTCTTATATAATTGTTTTTTTTTTCTTTTTATAATAGATATGTTGATAAAAAGTGGTATTCGTCGTTTCATTCAAGAAATGGAAGACTTTTCAAATAAAGAAAAAAAAGGTTCTGATACATGTCGAATTCGTACACAACACAATCATTAACAACAGGTATTCATATTTTTATTCCAATAATAAATATCGTAATAATAATCAAAATTTATTACTCCATCTGTTTCATCAACTGATGATCATGATGATAACATAAATGATTTCAAAGATCCATCAACTGAAATAATTCAATATGATTTATTAATAGAATGTTATCTTAGTTGTAAAATATCTAAAACAATTATAGAAAATCGAAATTGATAATTGAATTTAATATATTCTAGAATATGAAGAATCCTGATATACAAGATAGTGAAGCTAATCTATATTGGAAATCTAAAGGTGAAGAATTTTATGCTACAACACAATAAGTTGATAAAGTACAAGAAAATCTTGATAATTTATCAAATTAGTAAAGTAAAATTTATCTTTATTTTATTAAAAGTTTATACAATTAATTTTAGTATAACAAATATACAAAAAGATGGCGATGTACAACGAAAATTATTACAACAAATTAATGATTGATTTACAAATATTAGTTGAAAAAAATTCTTTCAAAAGTTCAATGAGAGTATAAATTACCTTAGATTCACAAATTTACTAAGAAATAGTATTAATAAAATTACTAATAAGCTTCATTTTTGTTAGCATCTTGTTGCTTCACAAAGACGACATGAAATACTAGTAGAAAAGTCACAAGAGAAGTTTTCGTAGTTAATTTTCAATAGACAAAATGTTAACAGTATTATGAAAAAGTTAGATACAACTGAGAATTCTATTACAAATATAGAATTAGTTGAAATGTTTAATTAAGAACTGAATAATGAATCTCTTTTATAAGTTGAACGAGAAGAATTATGCAAACCATTCATTGAATTTCTATTGTTAGAAAATAATTTTATTTTGGAATTTTTTAATAGGATTTTTCAAGAAGATTACACAGAGAATATATAAGAAAATATTGTTTAATATTGGCAGAGAAATCATTAGAACGTGCTGAAGAATTTTCTTGTGAAAATAGAAAACAGACAAAAAAGAATGTTAGAAGTATTTTGAAACTGTCTTGGATAGTAGATTTCAAGAACTCTATCGTGATAGTCAATGGGAAATTTTAATAAGATTTGTAACCAAGATAATTTAATGAAAATCTTTGAAAATTTTTCGAATTCTTCATTTTTCTTCATCAAAATCAAACAGAATCATTACAAAATTTATTAATATATGACAGACAATTGAATATTATTTACGAGTTTATTTTCATTTTTTCAACATAATTTATC